AGATACTTGAAAGACGTACCTAGATTGCGTACCCGTGGTGTAGAATATGAAGCTGACAAGCTGATTGCTCACGTCTGAGACTATCGCTAGAAATATTGTTGTTCAATTGTCAGACATTTAATACCGCGTGATAGTTGTATGTATGATGTAAAAGTGTCCATATTCGTGTGTATCTGTACAACACATATTTGTTCAATTTTCAGAAGGCTATGGCCTAAGCACAAATATATAAATAAATGAGACAGGGGAGTTGAATATGCCGGCCTCCCAATCAAGCTCTACATACAAATGACAACATTTCTTAGTCCTTTTTTTTGATTATTATATATACGTACATCCTCCGGTATATAATAAATATCCATGGTCCTGTGCAAGTATCGACAGCCTGAAGTAGAGCCATCGATTAGTAGATTCAGGATTTCCTAGTGCTATGACCATCATCTTCTTTGTATAGTAAATAGACACACTACGTCTGTACTCATTCTTAACTACAATCCCAGCCTATTTTCTAGCAAGAATTGCGGCAGCTACAGTAGCAACAGCAGCGTCAACATGGATATGGAAGAGACCACTGAGGAGGGCTGGAGCGTGGCCCCTCCTAACACTAACACTAACACTAAAACTGGTAGCACTGCTGCCACGCACGGTCACTATGGCAACATGACGATGACGTTCAATACCCCCTCCACGCATACTAATGCTTTTGCGAATAGCCAGAATGCAGGTGCACATACACAGGCCTTTGGGAGAGGGGCATTGCATTTTTCAGACAGTGACATGAAGATGGGTGATAGCACGGACATTGGTCGGGCAGAGCCTTCGTTCGGTGCTGCACATACAGCTGCAACGCGCGACAAGCGGGGCAATATGACCATGGCATTCAATAACAGTAGCAAAACCAATACCAACAACAATATTACCCATAACAAGATCGCATCTACCAACAGCAATCTGCGTACAAGTGCTCCGGTGTCACAGCCACAGCCACAGACCCAATTGGTTGGGTTAGCCATCCCCAACAATAGCAATAGCTTGCACACAAATGTGAATACTGTAGGGGCTTGGGAAGCGTCTTCCTTTGACAATGGCAGTACGGCTGCAACACGCGATCGGCGAGGTAACATGACGATGACATTCAACAACAAACCCACTACTATACAAGGTGCGCAGGCAAGCAGAGACACTGATAGAGCTCACACAGCCACGGCAGCTGCATTCAATACCGACGGGTCTGATCCTACCGACGGATATACGAGTGCACATGCTAGAGAGGTTAGAGATAGTACGGAGGATGGCAGGCAGCAACCTACTTTTGGCAAAGCCGGCACAGCAGCAACGCGCGATCGACGTGGTAACATGACCATGACGTTCAACAACAATCCCGCACCTACTTCTACTGTCACTGGAGAGCCTGCAGGGGACACAGGCGGAGCTATGGCTGACCCCGAAAATGTACCACGCGCGTTTCATACGGATACCAGTACTGCTGGAAAGGGGGGACCACGGGCTTTCACCCAGGATACGGGGAATGTTGGTGAAGAAAAGAGGAAGGCGAGCGCAGACAGTAACCATAGCAACACCGCATTTGGGGGTCAGGCCCTTGGTGCATCGCTACGTTCGAGATTGGGCCCTGCACCTGCACCTGCACCTGCACCACAGGGACTGGGGGTGGGTACGGATGTATCGGCAGAGGGCGAGTCAAAGAAGGCTGGCACATCCACTATGGAGAAGCTCATACAGATGAACGATGGCAAGCGACTGGATGCAGACGACCTACGCAGCCAACGCTTCAATGCGAGCGATCAGACTGTGACGGAATGGAAGAAGGTGCGGTGATGTGGGGGTGTGGGTTGGTTGTAGGTGTGCGGGGTTGTCGGTGTGTGTGTTCTACTGGTTGGTATTGTATGGGGTTTAGTGTAGCGGCATTTGACTATGTTCAGTGACAGTATGGGGAAACGCGAGTGTAGAGTTAGAGCTATTTGTGGACTGTTCGATGACACCACCTCTAGGTATACCCAGCTTATCCATACGCTGATGAACGCTGATTTCTGATGGCAGCTTTAAGCTTATA